TGCCTTTTCTCACCTCCAGTTTTTCTTACCTCACCCTTGCCTGGTCGCCTAGACCTCCCTTTGCATGCTCAGCAAAGACATGAGTTTATCCTGCTAAAAGTTGCTACTGTGTAAAAAGAGGAGAGGAAAATAAATCTGAGGACATTTGTGGGAAGCTTTACATAAAGGATCGTCGATACGAAGCTGCAAATATATTTTCTGAGACACTCTGGGGCACGTGCAACCGATCAGTCTGAATCTGAGTATCTGCAGTCAAATCACCTAAAGGAGAATGAACTTCATACAAATTTTGCTCAGAAAAAAAAAAAGCGGGGGGGGGGGGGCAGGGGGAGAACACTCTAAACTGGTCTCAAAAGATTTACCGCGACACTAGATTACATTTTTAAAATTTTAAACATTTAAATAAACAATTCACATATTTTTAAGTGTGAGCAGTAACCTAAGGTTTTAGGGGAATTCTCCCTGTGTCTGCTCTTTACAGTTGGGTTTTTGTTTTTCTCGCACAGGAGTTTCAAGACAAAATGTAAAGAGAAAATGAAGGATGTTTGTGATCTTGCTCACAGCCGCTTCTGGCACTCTCCCGGATGGAAAGTGTTTGCAACATAAAGGGTCCTTTGCAAAATAGTCTAAGAGGTCCCTTATCTTCGGATAAAAGACTTTACCCCTTTGCCAGTAGGTGGATGGAGCCGGGGAAGAACTGGGGGGTGGGGGGAGCGAGGGGGGAACGGGGAAAGCGTTTTCTGTTGCGATTCCCGCTGGGAATTTTGAGGATTAAGAACTCTGGAGTAGGTTTTGCAGACTTTCCGATGACTACCTGGATTTGCATTTATTTTGCATGAACACTTTGATGAAAGGCAGGCTCACCAGGGCAAGGGTGTGTGTGAAAGGAGAAGCTCAGTGGAGGGTGCGCCCAGAGTTCGGGGCTCTAACCCTCTTGACGGTTTGTCACCAAGGCCGAGTCCTCGCAAAAGCCAGCCTAATTCAAAATAAACATGTTTCTGTGAAGTAGGACAGCCTCTTCCTTAAAGTCTGTGGAATAAAACGTTCCCAAGAATTGCAGTTTCCGTGTCTTACTTAGAGACAAAACTACTAGGCTTTGCAAACCTTTTATTTTGGATCTGCTTGTCTCTGTCCATGGTGCTAATTCCTGCCTCATTCTCTTGCTCGGTTGCCCGCTCTAAACTCAACGTTGGTGTCAATTTTCTCGACTTTTTTTTTTTTTTTCTGTTTTCTACACTGTAGAAGGAAAGTTGACATTCTCCTTTAAGAAGAACAAATAAAAGAGTAATCATCAAGCTATATAATATATATATTTTTTCACGCAGGCATCAAACTGTCACATTTCCAACATTTTGAACGACAGACCCCACCCCCACCCAAAGTGCCCAACAAACTGGTACAGAATATTTTTATCCTTATGAGAGGGTAATGTTTGGATTATCACCCTAAGCTACACATTGTAAACTCACCTAAATGGCTTAACTGCTTTATTTGCTTCAAAAAAAAAAAAAAGTCACAATAGAGCTTTGCAGCATCCTTTATCATAAAATGCTAAAATCACACCCCCCTCTACTACTGTAAGGGAATTCTTTATCCTAAAAGATATTACAATAGCTTATGAGTATTCCTGTGAATGAGTGCTCCTTTATAAACTTTAGCAAAATAATCTATTGAATTCATTACTTTTTCAGTTGTGAGAACTATCTTTTTGCAACTTTCTCCATATTAAACTTTTTCTCTAAACTTTTAGTGATTGACCCCCAAATCTATCCATTCTCTGCTGCAGTTTGAAATAATGCCAAGGACTTTGAAAATAGAGCTAAGATGACAATCATAACTCAGATGTAAAATGCTTTTCTAAGGCAAGTTTGGATGCCGTGGATAATTCTTTACCTAACTATGGATGAAGAGCAGTTGGTTAATGCGGAGTATGATGTTTACACGCAGTCTTTATTAACTACAAGATAGGATAAGTATTTCAGGCCATGAGAACATGAATTTCAAAGTGAAATCTACATCCAGACATCACTTATTTTAAATGGGCTGTATTCAGTTTTTAGTTTTAAAAGTTGGAAAAATACATGTTACTTGTGTATGTATCCATGTAAATGTTTTTAAATTTAAAAGCATTTGTTTTATTGAGGAAGGAAACTAATAAGATATTAAAAATATCTTAAATGAACTCAATTTTTCCTACGTAGAAAAAACAACACGTTGAGGATGACAACATTTTGAAAAACATTTGCTCCTCTGCCCTGGCTAAAGGAAGCATATATACCCAATCCACAGAATTTAGCATTTTGCATTTGAATGGAGAACTTTACTATTTTCCAAGAAATTTCTTTGACTACATAACACACAGGCTAGATTTTCATCACTCCACACCACACCCAGCTTTACTTATCCACCTTCCCCCTTTTGTGAAACATACCGCTGTAATCTGCAGATTCTTGTGGAGACAAACACACATCAAACAATAAAACAGAGCATTAGTTTCCACCCAGTTAGAAGACACTTATGTAGTTGTAAGGTAATGGTAAAGATTTCCTACAGAGTGTTGAGAATACACATGAATACATGCAACTAGTCCAATATTAAGAGCATGCTAACAAGAAGAAAAGACAATTCATAAATAAGTCTGATTAAACAGTATTATATTTTTATTTAAATTGTACTTACTAAGAGTAATTTCTCAATACTGACCTGGGGGTGAGGGGAAGGGTTGAAGGAAAATGATAACAAACACAATCTTCCAATTGTTTATTCATACAGTGATTAATCTACTTTAGGTGAGGTGGAGTCTTTCTGTCTTTTCCCTTGACTTGTCCTTCCCTCAGTCTCTTGACTCCATTTCCTCAAACTGCGATTTCTTCTTCCCATGAGTTCCACCCAGGTCTAGAGAATAGCTTTAAGCTGAAATTAGGACCCCAGTCTTGTTATATAGAAAGTGGGACTGGGGATTAGGACATGGTAATTATAAAATATAAGATAATAATGCTAATTATAGCACATAGATTCAGGCCTCCTTTTCCGGTCCCCTGTTGTTGTCATGCAAAGTAACAGAAATTGAGCATATTTTACGGGTTATACGGGAGATAAACAGGTCTTCTGGTCTTTGCCATTAATCATTTATCAACACTCAAGGACACTCTCAAGGAATTCTGAATTATTTCACCCGTCACTTTGTAGTCATTTTGCTTTGTGACTATCTGTTCCTTCCCTTCCATCCCTCTCTACCCTTCTGCAATCTCTAACTCTTACCTGTGCCTCCTTTTTCTGAATTTTCAAAGATAGCCACTAGTAGTAAACAGGTAAAGGAATTGCTTTTTACAAAGGCATGAGCATCTACAGAAGATCTGTTACATTGTGTAGGAAACATTAAGTACTATCTAGGAAGTTGGCACTGAGAAGATTAAAAGAAGAAATTCAGGCTGGAAAAGAACCTAGGTCAAGTTAATGTCTCCATTTATACATCGAATCATCCTGAGGATCACACTTTCACTTGCAGAAAGAAAATACCATGCACAAAACTATAGTTCAGTCTCTTGAATGTCATTAAAATACGGTATTTAATGAAAGTAGTCTTCATCTATAAAGCAGAAGCATTGCCACATTTGGTCTTCCAGTTAAACTTTCTTTCTAAATCCTCGGAGAAAGAACCCAGATGAAGGTTCGACTGATCTTAACTGTCAGCAATACATGTGTGGTCCAAGAACTGTACCGCCAGCAAATACAGAGGAGTGGCTTGTTCTAATTTTATATACAGATGCTCTTTTTGAGTCACCACCTACCTCCAAGTGAAGGACCTTAGTTAGCTCTGCTCAGTACATCTTTTCCTGCCAGGATGTTTACCCTTCACTTTTCTAACATGAAATGAAAGCTACTTCAAACCGTGCAGCTTTATTAGAAAGCATTTCTGAATTCATTCTCACCCTCAAAGGATGCTTTAAAACAATAAACAAGAGAGCTGCAATACGCATATATTAAAATAGAGAAAGACATAACATTGCTTAATTTCTAATACAGAATACTGGAACACAAATCGAAAAAAAAAAAAAAGCATGCGGGCAAGTAATGGATGTACATTCATCCCTTTCACTCAGATCAAAGAGAGGGAGCTCTCAATGACTCATACATACCGGACAGAGTTTAATGTTATAAAGAAACGTGCCAGAGATGCGTGCCAGTGATGGCAAGGAAAATGAGTCTTTCGGAAGCAGAAAGATTTAAGAGGAAAGAAGATCATGCCATATCGCAAACTCTGATACTACAGTTCCAACCCTCCCACGTTGCTCTTTCCATCTCTTTTTTGCTTCTTGCATTTCCCTTCGCCGCCTGTGTTAAGTGTGTACCTCCCCGCACAACTTACCTTGAAACGGGACTCCATTGAGCTCTTGAGAGTGACACAAGCTTCGGGCCAATCGTATCAAGCACGCTCGCCCGGGCGGCCTCAATGGAAGCATCTAGACCAATCAGGGTCCTGGGGAGATGAGCAAGTTACGTTGTGGCGCCACTCGGCGTATACTTCCGCGCGTGCTGCCCGGGATAGGAGCCTGGAGAGCAGCTGCACACACGGCAGTGCGGAGGCAGAGAAGGGGTTGGTGATACGGTGCTATAAATCTGTGGTCCAGTCCACCTCCCTTTTAAGACGTCCTCCCCCCTTATTTCTGTTCTCAGTTAGAGATGCAGCAGCTTACTCCTGTAGCGACCTACTAAAAAGCAACAAGGAGAAAGACATCGTCTTTTTGAAAAAACGTTCTTTCGTCTCTTTTCTTTGTTCCTTCGTTTGTTTTTCTTGCCCCTTTTTGTTTAGTTGAACGGCAATAGGAGGATAGTCTCTCCTTTTTTAAACTCTCTTTTTTAAGTTCCCCCTCCCCTTTCGTATTTTTTTTTTTTCGCCATTTCTTTTAGCGTTGGACTTTGGGGTCGAAAGAATTTCTTTTTATTTGCTTCTTTTAAGCCGAGCACAGTTTAGGTTTCGTGCTGTCTTAAGAGAACTATCCAGCAGCTTCTTGCTCATCCTTATTGGGAGAACTGCACCGTTACTTTAAAAACACACATACACAAAAACCTTAAGGGAGAAAGGTAAGTTTCGGTTTGGTTTCTTTAATCATTAGTTGCAGCGATGCGCTGGCAAACCCAGAAAACCTGTAAGTGAGCGGAATACAGAATACGAAGTTAATTGCACATGTTTATCTCATTTCAAAGCTACTGCTCTGCTTTTTAATTCTAGAGAGCTAGACTAAAAGACAGTGGACGCATGCTTGACGTACTGAATTTTTCGCAAATGTCAATGGCAGAAACTTAAGTGGTAAATGTGGCTAGAGTAGAGCAGGGGTTCAATGGGAGTCTAGGTGTTGAGTGAGCTTCAGGATTGAGGTTGGAAGTTCATTTCACGGGAAGAGAGGGATAACTTGGGCTTGGGGTTGGGGGGGGTGCATGCCTCTACTTTCGCACAGCAACCAAAGGACTGGAGAGGCTTTAATACCATTGAGGGGAATCAGAAGCTTGGACTTGCAGATTAGACCAGCGAAAACCCCACACCTAATTGCATTAACCAGATAACATGTGCTGGGGAGATGGGATTGCCAGATGGAATTTAGATGCTGCACCAGGCTGCTAGTTGTAGTTGAGTGAAAAAGTACATGCCGCCTGAGGGCTAGGGCTGGGCTGGGGCTAGGGTGGGTAGAAGCTGTCAAAACTCATCATTGCTAGGTGTGCGGGCTCTAATTCACGGGCGCCAATTACCATGATTCTTTTTTAAAAGAAGGTAGCCAGTTTAGGGCCGGATTCTTAAGCCTGTACCGGATATGAAATTCCCTTTGTTCAGAAAAGCGTAAATAAGATCCTTGGAGCTGTGTCTGTGGAGTGGCGGCTGCCTGGGAGCCTTGCTGTGCTGGGCGCTGGGAAGTGGATTCCAAGCCCTGTCCTTGGTCCTACGCGGCTGACTTCGCCTTCGGGGCGAGGGGGAACCCCTTCGCAGCCGCAAGGATTCACAGCTACCCCAGGAGCCAACTCGGCTACGTTGCCCTCACCCCTTCTTACCGCCCCCCCCCTCCCCCGAATAGCTATTGTTAAACTGACGCCGGGAGAAAGACGGTTGGGGGGGGTGGTGAGATGCTGGGCAGACACATGCTTCATTTTAACTTTTGTGATTTCTCAGGGTTTGGGAGAAACCAGCTGGCTTTCTACTGCGGAAAAAGAGAAATCGGGGTAGATGTGGGAAAAAGGGGGAGGGTGTTCGCTGGGCGGGGAGGACCGAGACGGTGGCGGTGAACGAGGTGCTGCCTTTGCCGAAAAGAAGTTTAAATTATTGGCACGAGGGGGTGTGGGTGAGTGTGCATGAGAGCGCCGGTGTGGTGCTGGAGAAGGAGAGAATGGGGGAAAAGGTACAAAACCGGCGGGGTGGTTAATTTCTCCCTGCTCTCCACCCCACCCACCCTCCCGGGTCTAGAAGCCAACTTGCGGGCCAGCCTCCAGACTCGACCGTGCCATCCCCGGGGCGGTGGGGTCTGGGGATAGCAAGGTGGCAGTGCCCTGCACGGGAGCTCCGCGGCGAAAAGGACCTCGCGTGGCCATTGTTGCTTAATTTATGCCCAGCACGTTGCTACGTACCCACCTATTTCACGTCTGTAAAGAATTAATATGAGAGCTATACAACTGTGGCAAATTGGAGGTTGGATACGTTCCCCATTTGCCATTTTCAAGTACGGGTTAGCGAAACTGATGTCGAGACTGGGTATTTTCTCTTGTAAAGCCAGCTGCAGATCTGGCTTCATTGTGGCCAGAGAGAAATGGTCAACCATTTAGTATTTACTCTTAACCCTGCTGGGATGGGATGAATGTCCCTTACTTTCTCCCCGAAATGCATGGGTTCTTTCCCCGCCCCCACTCACCTACAAACTCTCCTGTTGGTTAAGATTCTAAACCTTTAGCCCTTCCCCACATCTCTCTCTCTCTCTCTCTCTATATATATATATATATATATATACACACATATGTATGTATATGTATATGTATATATATCCTCGATGTTGGAAATAGGAGGGAGATGGAGATGGTTTATTTCTTAGGCCTACACTGCAACCTATAAAAATACAGGCTTAAAGTGGATGGGGGGGATGGTTACAGAGTAGACAATAGTAACCGAATAAATTATTTTCCTAATTGAAAATAAGTTCCTAAAGGTCAAGAAAAAAGTGTGCATGTTTTAGGGGTGGTAGAGTAGAAAAGCTGTTTGGGCCTGTAAGACTTACTTCGTAAAATGGCTTCTTAAATGGGACATCTGAAAGGTTTGTTCAGAATCTAAACAAGTAAGTCTGTAAAACCAGAACATGTTGAGTGTTTAAAAGTCGCTTTTGGAGGATTTAAAAAAGGAACTACCTCAGTAATTATTGTCATTCCCCGAGTCTGTCTGTCTTACACCAATCACTCCTGGGTTCTTCCCTCTTTTAACCAAGTGTTTGGACACTCCGTTTTTAACCTGTTCTGGAGTTCTCCACCAAAAACGCAACGTGTGCAGGTGGAAGTGGACTGGAAGACTTGGGTAACTCTGTAGAGAGGTCTCACATAACTTCAAGAAGTCAGCCTCAGGAAGTAGGGCGTAGGGCATTCTTAGAGTTTTAGGCTTGGATTGGCAACTGTGGTAGGCCCATTTTTACCTAACGTTGGAAAACAGGCATTTTTAGCAATCCCGCCTGCCTAGCATGGACATGTTATCATTAACTGTTTAGAGGGAGGTCAAAAGAGGCGCAGGCGCTTTGAGCAGTTTCCCCAGTAACCCCGTACAATGTCAATTAAGGTCATTTAATTGCTAATCGGATTTGGGGTGACAACAGAAATGCTGATATACAATCAATTAGCTATTTCTGGTGTCCCCAGTCTGGGCCCCCCCCAAATCGAGGGATGGATTGTCTTCATTTAGATTAGGGTTGAACCCCTTACTTTGCCATGCCTGATTTGACTTCGCCCAAGAGGGCAATTTTGTCTCCTCCACCCCCGCCCTGGGTGAAAGGAGTCGTTCCTCCATTCTCTCCCCCCCCCACCCCGCCCCGCCCGTCGCGTGGGGGCGGGGAGCGCTGGGCGCCCTTAGCGGACCTTGCTGCATCAAACCCGCATCATGCCCTTGAAGCTGTAACCTCGGTCACGTTCTTGCGGCGACTCAGTCGCCCACTGCTCAGTTCCTTTCGCTTACCTCCTGCGATTTCAGGTAGGTATGACAGGTGATATTTTAAGTGCAGTTTTTAAGGGGGGGGGGAAAGGGTTAGAACAGAAGCCTTTGCAATGAAAACAATCACAACACGACAGGTGCTCTCGTAATTAAGCGGCCGAGCAGGTGTAAAAACGTGCTCCCACCGCGTGGCTCGGGGGGTCGGTTTTGACTCCCAGTCGCGGGGCTGAGTCCGAGGACAGGCACAGGTTTTTCTGGGGAAAGGCGATTGAGCGGGGCGTGGGGGCGGGCCAAGGCTAAGCAGCGACGCGACGCCCCCTCGGTGAAGAGTTGGCCATTTCGGGGCTAACGTGGGGGGCGTTGGCGGGATGCGGCGAGCAGCAGCCTCTTGTATAGTCGAGTGCAGGGTTTCCTACTTTGCGTTTGAAGCAGAGTATAGCACCCCGCACAGGTACTGGGGCTTATCTGAACGTCAGGTGCCTTCCAGAGAGGCGGAGAGGCGGCGGCCAGGGCTAAGCCAGCTCAAGGGACCAAGGGACAGGACCCCTCGGCTGTGAAGTGGGGGCGGGGGGGGAGAAAAGAGCCGTTTAACTCTGCTTCTCTATGTGTGTGTGACACACACACACACACACACACACACACATCAAAGTAACCCCCGCGCGAGTCGCTCCGGCTTCGCGTTAGCGCCTGGAACCTCGGGGCTTGCAAACTTGCACCCGGCATCGGCCGCCCCCGGGCGCGCGGCGCTCTCCGCGCTGCCGGGGGAGCCCGGTCCCAGACTCGCCCGGGGGCGGAGGGCGCGAGGCGCCGAGCCGGGCGGCCGCGGCCGGGCGTCTCCTCGCAGGCACCGACCCGCGGGCGGCCGGGCAGGGCACGCGCCCGCGGCGGCGCCGCTAACTCGCCGCGGGCCCCGCCTCCTGGCGCCCGTCCCAGCAAGCCCCTCCCCCCCGCCCCGCTACAAACGGCGGGACCGCGGCGCCGGGGCGGCACTGAGGCAGCTGCCGGCCGCGCGAGGAGGCCGGTCGCGGCGCGGCGCGGCGCGACGCGGGTAGGGCGGGGGCTCCGCCGGGTTCCAGTCCGCCTTCCCGCCTCCGCCAGGACTGGGGACGCCGCGGCCGCCGCCGCCGCCGCCTCTCCGCGGAGCCCGCCCGGAGCGACTCCTCCGCGGCTGTGCTGACGGCCGGCGGCGCGAGCCGTAGTGGCTGCAGCCCGAGTCGCCGCAGGCAAGTGCGGGGGGCGTGGGGGGCGGGGGCGGGGACGGGGGGGCGCGCTCGCGGCGCCGGGCCTCGCTCCGCTCGGTGTTGGGCGCCGCGGCGCCGAGCGGGGTGCGGGGCGCGGGGCGCGCGGGGGGCGCGGGGGGCGCGGGGCGCGCGGTCCGGCCTCCGCGCGGCGGGAGCCCGGGTGCGGCCTCGGGCGGGGGGGGACGCCGTGGGGGCGGCGGAGGTTGCGCACGCGAAGTTCCTCGAGCTCGGCCCCGCGCGGCGGGAGTGCGGGGAATTGGGCGCCTCGGCGGGTGGCGCCGCCCCTCCCTCCCGTGGGCACGAGCCGGCCGGGGGCGGCGGGAGCCGAGCGGGGCCAGTGGCGCCGGGCAGCGCGCTCAGGCCTGGACGTGCCCGGGGCCGGCCGCGCGCAGCGCCCGCGGAGCCGCGCCGAGACGCAGGTGAGTGCTTTGGAGGGAAAAGTGGGGGAGGGGGCCCTCCTAGAGAAAGGGCAGGATTCCTGGGGCGGGCCCCGGCCGCCCCGCCTCGGGGAGGCTGTGTGCCCCGGCTCCCCGGTCGGGTGGTGCCCCCTCGGCTCGGCGCCGCCTCGCGCGTGGGACTCGGGGCGCCCGGAGGCTCGGGGCGGCCGCGCGGCGTGCGGGGGCGGCGTGGGACCGGGGGGCGGCCAGCGCGGAGCCAACGGGATCCCCGGCCCG